GGTTATTTCGGCCCGTTTACATATGTTTTATCATGTTTTACCTATTAAAAATACCTAACTAATTGTAAAATGGTGAATTGCCAGCCATGTTAAATTACCAGAGGGTAAGGGTTTTGTCCAAGAACAATTGTCATCGAAGAAAAGTGAGGATTTGACCTAAGAATATGGTGACATGGTGAGTGTTACCCACGAAAAACTAGGATTGATCCTAGAATGGTGAGTTTTTCATAGTTTTTCCATCGGGGATGTAACCTCTACACCTTCCCATGGATCCATTTCAAAGGAGACCAAGCTGGGCTCCAACTGGAAGTCCCATCCAAGTGGGGAATGGTCCAGACTTGCGATGACAACATACTCAAACTACCTGAAAAATTATGACCAACTCTGGCCCAGCCTTGGGGATTATCAGCTACAACAAGATGGTCACAAAAGGGTATGTTTCAAAATTCTGAAACCAATTATGCTTTACATATCTCATTATTCTCATGGATGATGCTCAAAATGTCAGTTTATGGCCTATCCCCAAAATGTCAATGCTCAATATCATGGTCAAAACATGGTGGGGTATGGCCATCCCTGAATTCTAATAATTCACTCACGTGAAAATACCAAAAATTCATCCAAATTCATGGATAGATAACCAACCCCTTTTTCCGGGGAACCAACCCTGCCAGGTAAACGCGCGACCTCCTCGCTGTCGGAGGATCCGGAGTCGGAATCGGACTCTGAGGAGCTTGCGCCCCCCCAGAACCTGGGCTGCTAGGCACGGATATGCTAAGCTCAAGTGGAGATAGAGCCAACAAAACCATACAAAACCAGTACTGGACCATACTCAATGGATAAAAACGAGGCGTTGCATCAGACAAGTGATCAATGATCCCGAAGGAACAGCAATCATTGGTGACATTGGTGACATTGGTGACATTGGTAGGTGCGGCTCGAGTGCCGCTTAAAAGGTTGACTTTTGCTGCCATAGGTACCAACTGCCAAAGGGTAATGACACACTGATTTAGGGGTTGAATCATCTGATTGTTGTGGAATCTCCATCCGCCCCGAGAAAGGCCAAAGCACTTGTTTCCTGGGGCCGCCATTTGCTGCAACCAAAACGGGTAGGTAATAATTATTCAATATTCCTACTTGCAGCTTGAGCCAACTCAAGCATTTCAGGGTGATGCAGCATGGGCAAAGATTCACGCGAGGTTTCACATTGTCTGTACTTATATCCTCTCAAAACCACCCAAAACTGAGATTTTATTTCCTCGTCCTCCCAGGTTTGGGTCTACTCATAGAGGATCCAGTGTCTTGCAGGTTATCTTTCTTCCGCTGGTGCTACGCGAGGTCTGAGTCAATGGGTCTGAGTCAAAATTGGGTACGTACTCACAACACAAACACTTAAGTATTGGATAAATGCAAACAAGAACCGACCCAGATTCATCATGATTCATCCAAAATCCAAAGGTATCTGCGGCCATTCCATCTGTGCCCATTAAGAGCACCTGAGATTTTGACCCAGCTGAAATCAATGGCAGGTCTCAGGCGTCCGCGTCTGGAATGCTGTTCAACAACGGAAGCTCCGACTCCTGGTGCGGAAAAAAATGAGCTGACAGTGGGTTGTTACAAAAGCAAGTGTGATATAATGTGAAATAATCAGATAGATAGATAGATAGATAGATAGATAGATAGATAAATAGATAGATAGATAGACAGATAGATAGATAGATAGACAGACAGATAGATAGATAGATAGATAGATAGATAATTGATAGATAGATAGATAACTGATAGATAGATAGATAGATAGATAGATAGATAGATAGATAGATAGATAGATAGATAGATAGATAGATAGATAGATAGATAGATAGATAGATAGATAGATAATAGATAGATAGATAGATAGATAGATAGATAGATAGATAGATAGATAGATAGATAGATAGATAGACAGATAGATAGATAGATAGACAGATAGATAGATAGATAGACAGACAGATAGATAGATAGATAGACAGATAGATAGATAGATAGATAATTGATAGATAGATAGATAATTGATTGATAGATAGATAGAGATAGAGATAGAGATATAGATATAGATATATGTATACACAGGTTTACATCCCAAAAGTGTTCGTGATCTGAGAGATGTTCATCCCAAGTATAGTGGTAATATCCACCGTGATAGGCTTTGGATTGACCACCCAACAAGGCTGCAATTAGATGAGCTGCCAAAATCCTCCATATGGGGGTTTCCGAACATGGAGCTACCCCCAAATATGGAGCTACCCCCAAATATCCCCAAATCATCCATTTTAAGAGAATTGTCAATTGTCCACCCATCAATTTTGGAGATCCCCTATTTATGGAAACCTCCATATGGGTTTGTCTGAAAATAGTGTAGCCCTACACCCAATGGTTAATGATCATTATCCCTACTAAATGGCTATAATTGGGGGTATACCTATTTTCAGACAAACCCATATAGAGGGTGATGTCCAGTGGACCAAAAGCTCCGCGTCGTTTTTCTCTGCACCGCACCGCCGGGGCATCTGAGGCACGCAGCCTGCGGATGCCTGCGGAGCCTGACGCCCTGTGGCACTCACAAGGAGGTTGGCCCGTTCCACCTGCAACAACCGTGGGCCATGGATGTTGCGGTAGTTCACGGTAGTTCACGGTAGTTCACAGTAGTTCATGGTAGTTCACGGTAGTTCACGGGTTCATATGTGGCTTAGAACATGTTATAATATGTTATAAGCCATGATAATTGTGGTAGAAGGGGATAGAACTATACGCACTTATGAAGCAATGAACTAACTCGATGGTTCATCTATATAAGTGAAAGATGTGAAAGTGATGGATTCAATCAGGGCGCTAGAAACAGATATGTGTGGTCAGCCGCCGATGGAAATCATACTGGAACAACCTGGAACAACCCAGTTATGATCCCCATCCCAATGGATGTATCCCAGTTGGAAGGACCCCATTGACATCCATTGACCCCCCATGGGCTGCGGATCATTTGGGGTGAAAGCCATTGGATCTCACTGGGCTGCGGACGTTCCCCAGGTACCATCCTCGCGCTTCGTGTAGGCCCAGGTCTCGTCGTACCTGAGGTTGATTTCTTTGGGGGACGAGGGTCGAAGCTGGTAGATAACTCAAAATCATTCCAGATAGTTGAGTCGATATTTGCATGTATTTGAACTATAGTTGCTTGCATTGGATGGTTTTAACATGTTTCAACCACCTGTTCGGAAAATCCTTGACATCAGCTGGGCCGTCTTTTGGATGTCCTCATATACGTCCTCTAATTCCATTTTTCAACATCTGTAAATTGCATTCCGTACCCGTGCTGTGACAAGGCTACACCCACCAGCCGCCACCAGCCCCATGAGATGACGGCCAATGACCCCATTCCGGCACTTGATCTTCTCGACCGCTTCGGCAATGTCTGGCCACTCCAAACACGTTCGATCCTGGCCCATGGTCATCCATGGTCTACAGCAATGGTCCAAGGTTTTGATTCTTCCTGGGGTCACTGAAATTTTGCTTGAACGATGAGGCAGGAATATGTTAGGAATCCAAGGAGTGACTTCGGGTAATGTCGTGATTGGGGTCGACATTGGGCGAAGTATGGTCAAAACCCTCATCTGGTACAACCATGATTATATAATCCCCATTATTCCCCATTAAATCACCAGTGTTAATGGTTAAATCCCCCAAATGTAGCTCTCCGGCCTCCATTTCTCTTACCAAGGCCTTCACCTGAGGGTCGAACTCCGGTATGTGGTTACCCATGTGGGAATTTCACAAAGTATATCATGAAATATAACCTCAAATGATCTCAATGTCTTTTGAACTGCAGCTACAAAAGGCTGAAGATCTTTAAAGGGAATTACGGAGGCGAAAGGGCAACGACCTGCCATGTCTTCAGGATTGCAGATGCAGGTACAAGTGTAGGAATACAGATGAATAATGATGAATAATGATGAATAATGATGAATATACATAATTATATATATATATACACTACAGAAACCGACATGAAAGAGTTCATGCCTATTGTGAACAAGTTTCACAAAGGTCAGACTCCATGATCCATCCCACCTCAGCCACGTCGGCGTTTGCGACGTCCACCACACGGGCACAAAAGCTTTTCCTGCAGAGAATAGCAGGTGGATGTAGGATGTTTGTTATGTGGTGCCCTTGAAATTGCAACTCTGGAAGAATTTGATGCCATGGGTCTTCAAATCCCACACAGTAGTAGTCATGCTGTCAGATCCTAGAGACTTCAAGGATATTAAAAGTAACTCTATTGTGTACTTTTGTTGGAATTGAAACCACCCATCCCTTTGAACCACATGAAACTTCCCACAGGTGCCCACAGGATTCCGAAACTCCACACAGTTAGTATCTGGCGAAATTCAGCATGGTACCAGCAAACCGATTCAATGAAGAGCTCCTAGCTGTACTTTTCCAGTATCTTGTTGAACATCAACTTGGGAATGAGTCAAGATTGAGCCGAGAAACTGAGCCACAAAACATGGTTTTGAAACGTTGTAGAACACATGTTCCACACATTTCTACAGCGTCACTGCCTGGCCAAGGTATCCCAGGAGGTGCGATAGCCATGCTGCCAGGCAATGGGGTTCCACCTTGGTGCGAAATCTCCAGCGGTCCTCGTCTTCTTGGCGTCAAAGACATGACCGGTGACGCGCACCACCACCACCACTGTCAGCATCAGCATCATCAGTGTACCTCTACCATAACCATCATCATCACCACCACCATCATCAGCAGCAGCAGCAACGGCATCTGACTTTGACCGACTGAGGCTCCCACTTTTCCCAAACCAGCTGTCGGATCTCGCTAAAGAGCATATCTGCGTCCTGGCTCACCCAGAGGAGCTGTGGCTGGCAACTCAGTGTTGGACCTAGAGACCCCAAGGAAATACCAAGTCCATGTTCCAAACCCGGCAAAATCCAGAAGTGGAACTCATATCTTTCCTGAAACACGTAGTGATCTAGTGCAGCCCAGCAATTCCAGCAACGATCACTGGAACCAGGCCACTTGGCAGGCCTTCTTTTTGAGACCGGGTCCGATGAGCTTCCAGATCTGATGATGCGGCCCTGGGTTGTTTCTGACGTGAAGACAACGTACTGACTCCAGGGATCTGCGTGGAAATCTTGCACAGTTTAGGTCTCTCTCTGGGTTACTTCAGTTGGTTTCGGTTTGAAACCGTGGCAAAACCCTCCTTGAGGGGTCTTGGAACCTCAATCTGAAAGCTCCGAGGGGTTGGGTGTGGTTTTGACCATAAAATACCATAAACATGTCTCAACTTTACAGAGGCGTTCCCTATATTTTTTCCCATCAAACCCACACTCTTGGTTTCTCTGTCTTTGTCACAAAGGTCTCCAAGGCCCAGACTCTTGAAATCTTCAGCCTTAAGAGCCTGTGAAGGGAATTGTGGATTTCTCGGAAAATGTGGATACCAGTACAACTTATGATCAGTTTCCGTAAATGGCCATGAATTGGGGGTAAATAAACCCCTTGAGGTTTAAACAAAGTGTTTTTTGTTAGTCGTATGCATGTCTGATGTGACATCTATAGACATCTGATATTTTGTGCTTAGTAGAGTTGTCTCATGGTTGTGTTAACACCTATCAGATCCTATCAGCACGAACACCACTCCATTCTGCACCTCATTCAGCTGAATGGCAACCCCTCGAGCCCATTCCACCTCCTTTCGCCGCTGGAGCTGCTTTTCAGGTCGGATCTTCAAAATTCCAGTGATCAGCTAAGAATAATATATCGAATAATATATAGAATCACCAGCTAAACCATCACAATCTCATGGAAAAATATCAAAAATCACCCAAAGTTTCGCTGTTTTACCAATGTTGACCCATCCTTGGCATCGACTTCAGGCTCTGCTTGCTGTTTGCTCTGTTGCATCTCCAAGACCTGACAAAGAAAGCATCCTCTATGCATATATATAACTATATATATATACAACATATTACAACATATATATCTATATATACGTGTATTTATATATATATATGATATATAGTATCATCATATATATATATATATAATTATATAATTATATATAATGACATTGTATGAACCGTTGGAACATTTTGGGACGATTTCCTTGTGGAACAGTCATCCTTTCACACGTTAAGGTCTCCTTCCCTGTACAATGGATCCGTGGCAGCGCTGCGCCTTCCTTTGCTTCCTTGGCTCAATCGAAAGACTGGACGCAGCATTCAAAGGGCACCCATCGGACAAAGGCAAAAGAAAGCTGACCCGAACCTTCTGCGTTAAATGGTCAAGAGCGGCTTGGGGGGAAGTAAGCCGATGGTCCACCAAGTGGAACTTCTTTTAGCCGTGCTGTCTGGGATGACCCCCAAAAAAACAAATGCGTGCGGTCAGAGGTCTCTTCTTGCTCTTCTTCCGCCATAAGGAGAAAGAGTGTGCTCGCCTCAGCTGATCGGTTTGCTGTAGGGGGCCTAAATCTGCGGTTTGGTCTTTGACCCATAACCATAATCTAAAAAAGAAAGGGCACCTATGAATAATGTGTTGCATGCTTTGCAGTAATCATCCATGTTTGGGCGGTGAATCTCTTTGATCCATAGCCAGTGATAACTCCAGATGATCCTCCAGATCGGTTTGTCTGAAAATTGGGGCTACCCCCAAAAGACCAAAGTGGTTGGGACCATGCTGTTCTAAGCTATAGGTCGGTTGGAATGGGGCTTTCCGACAACGATCCAAACCAACGTACCGACCGGATCGTTTCTTAAGGGTCCCCCCCGGTCACAATCTCCGGCGCAGCGAAGCCTAAGGAATGTCCAACAGATGATGATATTCTACTAGATTCTATTTATTCATCCAACTCACTGCAGCTATAAAAATCATAACTATGGTATATTCCCAGTCATTCATATGTTTGAATTATTATCCAAACATATGTTCATCCCATCGTTAATCTACACACAAATATATACATAAAACGAAATCACACATAGCCCAAAAGGTATGAAATCGTTGTGTATGGCTAAAAATAACCACGTGTAGCCCATATATAGCATATCTTACAACAGGTACTAACTATGATTGTTATGGTTTAATAAGTGGACTATAATATGAATATGTTGAAACGGTATAATCAAACTTGTTGTAACTACCCATATATGGGTAATTCAAACAATGGGGATCCCCAAGTCACCATTGGGTTCAATACTAAAATGGGTCCAATGACTGGATGATTTGGGGGTACCTCCACGACTTAGAAAACCTCAATATTACATGTACAAGTATATACCTATATAATCCTATATATCTAACAATATAGTGCCATTATATTAAAATTATATATAACCATTATTTATAATATATATATATACCTTGTGTATAACAGTATAACATTAAACAAAAACCCATTGTTTTGATATGGCGATCCAAGGTGCAGTCTCCCGCTCCGCGCGGTGCTGCGGCCCATGGGGCACTGCCTGCATGGCCTGGCGGTGATTCATGGGATTTGGGTCGGGTTTTTCCCAAGATTCGTGAAATGTTGGGGATATCATGGGATATCTCATGAGTATATCATGATATCCCTATGTTTCAGACACTACATTCATCCAAGGAATTTGAACAAACAAAAATTGACATGTTGAACCAACAACTCCAACAAACATGGTGATGTTAACTCAAACTCACAAAAATGGTTCATGGGGATTCCGTACAAACAAACATCTCGCGTGAACTAACAAAAAAAATGGATTTAGCCAACAACAAATGAAGGATTTGACCAAGAAGAAATGGTGAATTTCACGAAGAAACATGATGAAACATGTGGATGTGACATGATGTAACCCCATATTTCTGCATTTGAGCCATTATGAAAACCTTCAGTCACTCCCTATGTCGTATCATTTTGGGTACGCCAAAGCTTCTGCCATGCTTACGCGCGTAGAGTTTTTCCTTACGCGAAGCAAATTGAGGAAACCCTTACGCGAAGTCCTTACGCGGCCTTACGCAAGTGAGGGTTTTGCTTACACCAAACCCGTTATGACAAGGCCCTTACTGAAAATGTAAAGATTGTAAAGGGAGGTTTTTAGAGCGGCTCATTTGTGGATTGATTTGAGGCAAAATCAACGGGAAACGTGCTCTTTGAACCATGAAACATGGGGGTCTCATATTTTCCCTTTGTACAATTGTTGGAAGCATGGTTTCTGCTGACAATCGGAACATATTGGAACCAAAAGAAGGAAGGATATAACTAATATGGCCACTAAGAATCAGGGATAAACGCCAAAAATATCCCAAAATGGAATGGTTCAGACGGTTCAAACAAAGAATTCTTTGAGCCACACCCAAATACCATACATGATTGAGAGATGAGATTTGCATCTAAGAAGCTTGCATGTTTTGTTTTGGTCAATTCAATGCCAATCTTAAATATCTTGCTAAGACATCTATTAAGTTTAGCTGGTGAGAATATACCCCCAAGTGCTGAATTTTTCCCAGCCATTCCAGTTTTCCCCAATGGATCCAAATTGACAGCCATCTACCCCCCTGGATCCGTTGGCCTTCTTGGCCAACTGCCGGCCCTTATTCCACCAACCTATGGCGGTCGCAATGGATTGGTTTTGCGACGGGGAAATCCACAGGAAACCACCAGGGGTATCCTATGGCGGATGGTATCCCATGGAAAGTGTTGATGGGGAAAAAAAAAACACCACGGGGTGCACACCAGCAAAGACGAGCAAAGGAAACGATCAAGAAATGGTTCACAAACATGAGGCAACATGCAAATTCTGGAACATGTCAAAGTTGAGGTTCTCTACAAGGTTCTATAACATCTATAATCATGATAATCATGATAATCATGATAATCATGATAATCATGGCTTAATTGCATCTGACATGATTACAACAAACCCCAAAGCAAGATGTGTCTGTCCAAACTGGGCTATATGCTCAACTGATGGCCATGTTTAATAGGGAAGATCATGCATACCCATCAAATTTTCGGAAAATATATATACATGCATACATATATATATACATACTATATATATATAGTATATGTATATCTATATAGTATATATATATATAGTGTATATATATAGTATATGTATATCTATATCTCCCCCCTCTCTCATTTCAGACACCCAAGTCTAGGCCAAACATTCCTGGTGAACTCGCCAAGGCACCAATGTGCTTGGCCGCGATGGCTCCCTCCCAGGCGGCCAAAAAGCACTTGGGATCCTTCTCCAACGCCTCTTCGGCCTGGGAAAACGTGGCGATCCCGTGGGGGATATCCGTGGGGATATATATATATATAACATACAGACATACATATATATATATATATCATATATTATGTTATTATATACTGTATATATTTAAACATAGTATGGACATCCCCTTCTAGATTAAGTGGAGGGGTTGGGTGCCCCCATTTTATAATACTAAAACGGGGGCACCCACCCCCCCCAAAGTGGGACCTCTATAAAATGGAAACACCCAGGGTCACAAAACAGGTGCACCTCTATAAAATAGGAAATTCATTTGAAAAAACAAATATTTACAGCTACAAATTTACTGCAAAACCCTCCATCACTATAAAATGGGAGGCCCCAACGTACCCTGGAGCCTAGCCTTAAAATGAAGAAAATAGTCAACTTTTACTATAGAATGGGAACCCCCAACCCCCTGTATATAGCTTCAATTTTAGAACATCCAAAATTGAATGGTTTCTTGAGGGGTTGGGTGCTCTGATGTTATAGAGATTACATGCCCTTCCTGGTAGGATTTTCTGGGGGTTGGGGGTTTCCATTTTATAGTGCCGCAGCCTTCCCACATCCTCCCACCATCATCGCCCCAAAGACACCACATTTTTCTTTAGCCCGGGACGTCCCAAAGCCAAGGGATGCTGACACAAAGACCAAAACTTATTTTCTGGATTTTTCTGGTAGTTTTCCATTGGTCCCATGCTGTCCCATGTCCCAAAAGCCAAGGGATGTTGACAAAAAGACTGGTATCGACGGAGCTGGGTATTTTGGGGCAGCTGGGTATTTTATTGGGTGGGATGGAGATAGCTTTCCATTTTATAGTGGTCCCATGCTGTCCCATGTCCCAAAAACCAAGGGATGTCGACAAAAAGATTCCAAGCTTGGTATTTTGTGGTATCGACAAAAATTGGTATTTTGGGACAGTTGCGTATTTTGGGGCAAGCTGGAGAAAGTTTTCCATTTGATAGTGGTCCCATGTTGTCATGGATGTCGACAAAAAGACTCCAAACTGGGTGTTTTGTGGTATCGACAGACCTGGGTATTCTGGGGCAGCTGGGTCTTGTCGGGCAGGATAGGATGGAGAAAGTTGTCTATTTTATAGTGGTCCCATGCAATGCTGTCATGTCCCGAAGCCAAGGGATGTCGACAAAAAGACTCCAAGCTGGGTATTTTGTTGTGTCGACAGAGCTGGGTATTTTTGGGGCAGCTGGGTATTTTAGGGTGGGATGGAGAAAGTCTTCCATTTTATAGTGGTCCCATGCTGTCCCATGTCCCAAAGCCAAAGGATTTCTCCAAGCTGGGCATTTAGGGGTATCGACAAAGCTGGGTATTTTGGGGCAGCTGGGTATTTTTTTGGTAGGATGGAGAAAGTTTTCCATTTTATAGTGGTCCCATGCTGTCCCATGTCCCATGTCCCAAAGCCAAACGATTTCTCCAAGCTGGGTATTTTGGGGTATCAACAGAGCTGGGTATTTTTGGGGCAGCTGGGTATTTTAGGGTAGGATGGAGAAAGTTTTCCATTTTATAGTGGTCCCATGCTGTCCCATGTCCCAAAGCCAAAGGATTTTTTCCAAGCTGGGTATTTAGGGGTATCGACAAAGCTGGGTATTTTGGGCCAGCTGGGTATTTTGGGGTAGGATGGAGAAAGTGGGTTTGTGTGTCCTCTATTCCTTTCTGTTCCATTCTTACGTTTCTCTGGTTTGGAACACTCCCCCAGGTTCCCATTGCCATCCATGCTATAGCAGGAAACGGCACGCGAAGACTGAGCAATGCAACTACAACCCATGATCACTATAAAATGGAGGCTACCAACCCCCAAAAAGAATGACTTCCTGAAACCTCCTGACTCTATAGAATGGGAACACCCAACCCCCATACATGAGTGTCATGCCAAAAAGGGCATCACTATAAAATGGAATTTAATATTATAAAATCAAAATCTTCCTGCCCCCCTGGGGTCACTATAAAATGAAAGTACCAACTCCCTAGAAAAAAACCTAGCTAAATTCTGTCTAAAAAACATGGTTTAGTGGGACCCGGGGGTCCCCCATTTTAGAGTGGTTATTCCAAGGGGGATGTATGGACCGTAGTTTATGGCGCTTGTAGCACAACTTATGAAGCTAATCACCATGATGTTATACCGGTGTACCTATTCGTAAAGCCACCTGCACCACCAAGTCACACATTGATAGTGTAACAGCCAACTGACATTATGGGGAGTTCACGGGTATATATAACCAACTTGATATGGTCCGGGGTTGTCCGTATGGAATTCAACCTAGTTGGGTTTGTCTGGAAATGTGGAATTTAACAAACTAATATGGAGATATGTGGTGTGGATATACTGGGATATATGACCAAGAAATACCAAGAATATGATATACGTTGTATGGATTTGCCAAGAAATGGGGTTATGGTTCTGTCCATGGGGAAATGGTGACAAAGCATGGAAGGGTATCCTGCTTTTGTGACAAAGCATTTGTTTGTCCTGAAAATCTGGTGCAAATGTATTGATCAATGTTTTTAAATTGTGGTTGAGTTGATTCTTTGCAAATTCCGGGGGTTCCTTAAGAATGGATGCCCTCTGGAAATAAAAGTTGGCTTGAACAATGCCCCATCATGCCCCATCTATGTAGAAGATGTTCTATTCAAATTGATGGTTTGCTACTGAAAATTGGAATTCTCCGTTGTGTAATTATGTCATGATGCATGTGTGTTCATCAAAGGGTATTCATTCTAGAGATTTCTGCTTGAAATACGTGTAGTATATACAGTACATGACATCAATTTTGGACTATCCCCTAGCTGAGAAGGTCAGCCAAACATTGAAGATCCGTAGATTATCCAGCTATGACTTGAAAACTTCTTGAAACTTGAAACTGCTTGGATTCCACAACAACTTGAGGTGAAAAAAAACAAAAACCGCCAAGAGTGGTTGGACTCAGCGTACCTCTTGAATGGCCCACTCTGCAGCCATCCCCACCAGAGGATCCTGGAGGCATCAAGATGACCACCCCATGGGTGGCGATGAGAGCAAATGATTCCGCTGGGAATAATATGGAATAATCTGTTGATCACCCTCTCTTGATTCTTTTCGATGGGAGTCCCACACTTTTTTGATGGGTGGCGGACGCCTAGAGCCTAACATAGTCCATAGCCGCCATAGCCCAACATAGATGGCCTCCTCCCCATCGTCATTGTCTCCCTGCTTTCGGGAAGACACCTGCAGATTTCACTGTGCATTCTATAATATTCTATAGAATACAGTATTCTATGGCACTGGTTTCAGGATGTTTCAGGTATCATTTCCATGATGTTTCATGCGGCGGTGCTCAAGCAACTGAACCTTCGCTACATGTCTAAATTGTGCATGGGACGTGAGGGCAGTGCAATATCGGCAGGGCAATATCGGGGCACCTTCTTATTCTCTGCCAGTCTTCGATACGTCTTGGCCCTAAAGCCTTGAATCTCTGCAAATCGCTTTGTCGGCAGGACCTCAGTGTTTGCCCAGCCAGGGATGTCGCCAAGGGTTTCCAAGCGATTCTGAGGAGGACACTGGCAAGGACATGGCCCGCTTGTAGACCTCCGGTCTGCCCGGGCACAAACTGAGACTTCAATTGGTCAGCAACATTTCGGGTGCAGCAAAAAAAAACGGGAACCTTAAGACTGAGTCTAGGCTTTTCTGCTGTAAATAAATGCACAAAATGTCACCCAATGTAATATGTGGTTGGGTTCTCCAATGTCGAAGACGGGAAAAGGACATGCATTCCCAACCTCTGCCGCCATTTTGAAGCGGCCCTGGTCATTGAGCGCCTGGGGCAGTTGACGACAGGTGATGGTATGATAGTTGAATCCAAGGAGTTTCAAAACAAAAGGAAAACAATCAAACCTAATCAAACATAATCTATCAAAATTCTAGATATTTGCAGTGATCATCTGAGAAAATCGTAGATATTTTCGTAGATATATAATTATAGAAATTATAGTGAGAAATACGTCCTCACACTTTTTGGTGCATCAAGCTCTGCCAAACGCCCCAGCCTCGGCTTCTTGACACCATGCCTGAGGCCATGAATGGACCGAGATGGGTTTGGATGTGGCGAGTGAAGAAAAGGGGTGATGTCCCAACCCGTTCATTTACGTGGGTAGTTGTTTTTGTTGTCTCCAAGTCTTCAACCTTCGCGTTTGAAGAGAATCCTTGATCATTCATGATCATTCATGAATCCAAGCCCCACCTGATTTGCGATTTGTAGGTATGAACTCAGTGATTGAGCCTACCCAATGATCCGGAGTATCAACCTACAACTATAAGATGTGTAGCGCGCAATTGGAGACTCTGACACGAAAGAGTTCATGTCACTCCCCCATCCCGCCTCTGCTAAACGCAAGCAGGCGTCCCCGAGACTGGCGAAGCCTTCAACTCGTGGTGCTGGTGCTTGTCCCTGGTCAAACTGTTCAATGGAAAGTGTGACCAAAATGGGTTTCCAAGTAATTATCCAACTCAGTTCCCTGGTGTCGAACTAGGTTTAGAGTTTAAACTGACCATTCCGCCACATTTTCCGCCCATGTCCGGGGGAGCTGTACACTGTACACACGGAGCTATCCCCCGAATCGACCTAGTCACGCCGCGACCTCTACGGGCTCCCGGATCCGAAGGGTCGCAGGATATCCGGCATAGGAATACCTGGAGCGCTTGCTAGCCCGGACCTGCTCACGGAACCACTTCAGCACATTGGGATTGGAGCTCCCATCCATCCTCACCTCAGGCCCCAGGGAAGCAAGAACATGCAGACATGGCAGGGGATGCTTTGCCATTGCTTGGCTATTGGGATGTCAAAAAAAAAAACTCCATGACTTTGGACAAGTTACAGAGGCACGACACATGGGACACACCGGGTGGTCGGGTCGCACACGAAGGGACTGCGCGATACAGCTGGCATGGAAGCAATGCCTGCAATTGACCAACCTTGGTGGCGTCGGAAACCGGCAAGTGGTTTCGTGGTTGGTCGCCCTTCTGAAGGACAAGCTTTACAAGAGGCGATCAGCAGAAGACGTACACTTTATATGATGAGGATGGCTCCAAAATGAGGAGTGCACCCAACAAAGAACAAATTTCTTGGTTGAACATCAATTTTCGGAATCAAAAGAATCAATGATGCTGAGTCATGGCACCTGACCCAGCCGCTGGATGAGAGCATGCCAGTGTCGTTGGCTGTGGCCGACTCCTCTTTCTGCTCCAAACACACTGCGCAGGTGTCCAGGATTGGCTGGGCTTCGCTGGGCCCGGTGGCTCCTCGTGCCGGATGACGGGCATACCCTGAGCTTCCGGGAATTCGGGTTTTCCAGTCTCGGTTGAAGTTTGTTTTATCGGATTTTTTAAGGATGGTTTTAGTTCTCCATTTTCCAATCCTTTCCCCATGTTCCAAGTTACAATCAGACATGTGCATCAGGGTTGCTCCCAACGCCCCCTGTACAATTTGGTATATAAAGGGGCCACCCTGTGCATCCAAATCCATGCCTCCCACGTAAAAAAAAGGTCCCAGTGAATACCGAAAAAACTATCTCCAACTCCGGAGAACCACACAATGGTGATACATTATATATAATTTATTATATGTAATAGATTATGTGAAATATCTAACATATGGTATATAATATACTTACCGAGCATACACATGTGTAATATGGAATATGTAATAATGTACATATAAAAACATATAATATATAAGATATCATACATATCATATCATATAATATATATCAACATATATTAATATATACTATTCATCATCTTTGAAAATTGATGTACAGTAATGTGTAGTATGTACCCTCTGGTAAATAAACATAGACCCTGAAAATCACCAATTGTTAATGGAAACTAGTCTTCCAACCCCTATCTGCCAGGGTCTATGTTTATTTACCAGAGGGTATAATTTACAGGCCCCCTCCATCTGGCTGTCCTCCAGCTGATTTGGCCCTTTCGATCTGCTTCTGGAAATCTCGCAGTGTCAGCAGGAAGTCGTGCGCCAAGACCTTGGCACCGGACCCACACTGAGGAGATGCGAAGAAAACGGCACGTGCGCGTCACAAGAAAGAGATGTCAAAAGAGATGCAGAGAGAAAGAGAATTCAAGAGAAGATGTCAAGAAAAAAAATGTCCTGAGAATTCATGAGAAAGAGATCTGATAAAGTTCAAGAAATGGCAAGAGACAAGAGAAAGTTTTTCCAACGCACAGGTGGTCTTGCAAACATCCTATAGCACAGCCCTTCTTGTGCCCTATAAGTCCTTACCGCCTGAAACGTCCGCCTCCGGCTCGCCCGGGTACCACTTGTCTAATATTGTGCAAACGTACTGTGTATATATATATACTTATATAAATAAATCATATAATTATATATACAGTACAGTACATATGTATGGATTGTAATGTAATGTTATGTTATCTTAGGCAGTTATGCATGTATCGTATGTAACGCATGTAACGTGTGTAACGTGTGTAACGTGTGTAACGCATGTAACGCATGTAACGTATGTAACGTATGTAACGTATGTATGCATGCATGTCTGTAACATGTATATATATATGTATTAATAAAACGCATGTATGTATCTAACGTATGTGTGTATGTATGTAACGTGTGTATATATATATATATATATGTAATGTATGTAACGTATGTAACGTATGTAACGTATGTAACGTATGTAACGTATGTAACGTATGTAACGTATGTAGCGTATGTAGCGTATGTAACGTATGTAACGTATGTAACGTATGTAACGTATGTAACGTATGTAACGTATGTAACGTATGTAACGTATGTAACGTATGTAACGTATGCATGTGTGTATGTAACGTATGCATGTGTGTATGTAACGTATGTACATATGTACGTGTGTATATATATGTACATATGTATATACATATGTCTGTATGTATGTATGTCTGTCTGTCTGTCTGTCTGTATGTATGTATGTATGTATGTATGGATGGATGGATGCGTGTATGTGCGTGTGCTGGGTTGAAGGTCAACTTGTGAATGATGACATCAAGAGAAGCGGATCTTTCTGGGTCATCCCAACGGCTTCGACCACATTGGAATCCCCTGGCTGGATGTTCAAGTCATCATAGACCCGGCGCACCACATCCTTGGAGGAATCTGCTCCCGGCCATTAAAGAATGGCGGCTGTGCATGTCCACCCGGATTGTTGTGATCTGTAAATGAAAATATGTTTTTGTCTACAGTTACACGCACGTATCTAAATATCTATGTTGTAATATGGTGTTATAATGTGTTATATGTCACTAATATGTACGATTATACATGTATGATCCCCCGGCAATTTTTTGTGGCTAACATGGACTCTTCATTTTTAAGACATGGCACATCTAAAGAATCACAGGCCACACCCTTGCACCTGCGAACGCGTACCGCAAGTGTTCGGCAATGCTTGGCAAATTCAAAAATCAACAAACATCAAATTGACCTTCAAAATGTTGACCTTTCAAATTGACCTTCATAATTGACCATCAAATCAACAAAAACATGGTCCATGATGTTCTCCTGGAAAAAAGGGAAGTCCAGGTTCCAGGCGGACAAAAACACTATTTACCACAAAAGAAAACATGGGACAACCCGGCTTGTCCCATTGTTAAGAGGACATTCCAACGGGGATTATCTATGAATATATTAATATATTATCACCACCTTTTTAAGGGGGGGACGTACCCAAAATGTAAGCTACATTTTTCAAGGTGTTTTCTAAGGGGGCCTTGAAAATGTAAGCTTACATGTTGAAGGTATTTTGAAGACCCTCCCCACAAAAACGACACCTGGGGGGCGTGCAGCGACCAATTTAACATTTAAGGGGGGGTCCCAAAAAATGTATCTTACATTTTGGTATGGCCCCCCCTGAAAAGTAGCCGTAAAGGGGTGGTGATAACATATTATATATTTACAGTATTATGTACACACAAAATAGACATAGACACACATACCTGATTGTGTGGTCCCCAGGTTGCCAGCAAGGTTCCCACTTGGCATTGACTGCCTTCAGATCCTGAATGCGGCCATGCTCAGCCAGCTGGCAGCCCAAGTTCATCACGCGGAAGACGAAGTAGGCGTTTTTGGAGGATTTGTAGGGATCTTTCCACTCATCCAACCTGGATTGTCATATTCCCCAACAATCCCCGACATCTA